CATAATCAAAATACTGGATAAAACAAAGTAACCATAAATACAAAATATATTTGCAAAGGGGCAAAAACAGCAGTGAACTCCGCAATCACCGAAAAGCCGACATCACTTCCCCGTTCCTGCCACAAAACAAATAAGCACATGTCACACACAACATATAAAACTCCACCCAACATCACGGCACCGCTATGGAGCATATTCACACGAAACCAAAAACACCCCCCCTCCACTACAAAAACAGACACACCTGGAGACTGCACAGATGGCGTGGGAGCTCCACGACCAGTCCTTCAGCGCCCAGTCCTTCTGCGCCCAGTCCTTCTGCGCCCAGTCCTGCCGTAGTCGTTCCCGAGACAAGCGTGGAGCTCGGGAAACCTGGGGCAAACCCTACATTTAAACCAGGAAGTAATCTGGCCTCACCTGTTGGGAATCACTAATTAAAGTGCTGTGGCCAAACAGGTAGAGGGAGCTACTCTTCACATAAATGTAAAATAATTATTCCGATAATAGCCAGTGTGAACAATAACACTCAAGGGTAACTGTTACATGCCAGACGGGGACGGTCTTGCATGTGTTCTTGTCGTACTCCCTCCTGCTCATTGGTTTCTCTCCCCCAGTGATTATGCTGATTGCTTTCCACCTGTGTCTGGAGTTGGCCAATCAGCAGTTCCGGTGGCAGTCCATAAAGGAAGACTCCTGAGACGTGAAGTGGGGTGTGTTCTGTGCTGTGGGCTGGTGGCCAGTCTTCCTGTACGTGAGCTTTAGCTGGCTGCTAGCAAAACTGGAGTTTGGGTAAGGTGGAGGTTGAGGACCTTAGTAAGTTGGGGTACCCTGTACATTCTTGCACGTAGGTATACCTTTGTATAGACACACTAGGTGTAGTGGTTGTTGCCTCCTGTGTAACGTTTTCCTTTAGTCCTTTTTAGAGAAGCAGGTAAGGTATTTTGTTTGACTTGTTTTGGATGAAGAGCCAGTGGTGAGCTAGGCCTCGTTTTGTTATATTCATTTCATTTGTTTGGCACAACCTGTAGGTCCCATCTTCCACCATCTCCCTCCCTCTTGTTGGGAGCCATCTTTTTGTGTAAGAATAAAAACTAGAAAGACACCTTTTACCCTGACTCTGTCACCTTTCTTTGATTGTTGTTTTACTGTCCTGGAGTCTACAAAAGGGCCGTAACAGTAACATTGTCTTAACATCCCTTAGAAAACAGCAATTAAAGGCAATATTTACCAAAATGGACAATTTGGCGTCTCACCTGAACCCTTGATGCTGATGCATCACCAACTGCTCTGCATCTGTAGCTTCAGGCTGATGTTTTTCCTGCACATTACAGACACAGACCGTGCTTAGTTTACCGCTGACATTGTTCGAGATTAAAGGGAACAGACATAATCTTATTACTCTCCCAAGGATTATAAAAGCCTAATTATCACCAGTTAATATTACTTTTGAGTTGCTAGCCTGCTGGTTCTGGGCTAAAATAACATGGTCCCATTATGTGGGTTTGTTAGCATTATCCTTCTGCCGTCAACAAGGCATCACCGCGACAACACGATCCTGTAGATACACGCACTACAACATCAGGAGAATACGTCCCCTTCTGACTCAGAAGGCAGCGCAGGTACTGATTGAGGCTCTTGTCATCTCCCGCCTGGACTACTGCAACTCCCTCCTGGCTGGTCTCCCTGCCACCGTCATTCGACCTCTGCAGCTCATTCAGAATGCAGCAGCTCAACTGGTCTTCAACCTTCCGAAATTCTCCCACACTACTCCACTCCTCCGCTCTCTTCACTGGCTACCGGTAGCCGCCCGCATCCAGTTCAAAACATTGGTGCTCACGTACCATGCTGTGAATGGATCGGGTCCAGGACATGGTCAAACCCTACATCCCAACCCGCACTTTCCGCTCTGCATCTGCAAAACTGCTCGTCCCTCCCTCACTGAGAGCAAAACATTCGACTAGATCTCGACTCTTTGCTGTCCTTGCGCCGAAATGGTGGAACGAGCTCTCTGAAGACATCAGGACCGCAGAGAGCCTTCACATCTTCCGCCGCAAACTAAGGACACACCTCTTCAGACTCTATCTCGACTAAAGACTAACAAATTATAGCACTTAAATTGTACTTGTAACGTCACTTATCTATAGCAAATTGTAAATTGGCTTATTTGAGAAAATTGCACTTTCTTGTTTTCCTGAGTTTGTACCCTATGGTTGAATGCACTTATTGCACGTCGCTTTGGATGAAAGCGTCGGCTAAATGACATGTAATGTAAAAGAAGCCACACGTCTGCCTGTGTCATTCATTTTTTTATTTTTTCAGTGTGTCTTAGGCACAAGTCTGTCATCAGTCTGTCATCAGGCTCTCTCATCATAAAACCTGTAACACAGGCAGTTAAAATTAAAAACATATTTTGGGGTGACAATTGGGTCTTTCCCCAAACTTTGGTGGTGCCTAGTCCCTATGGACCATATGCAGACATATGCCCCTGGGTTCTGTCCCAGGTCGCCATGTCCACGTGACCCAGGAGACACATTATCAGGGCCTCCCTGACCGGTCCAACTTGTGGAAAACATTTTTTCACTTCCTGGCAGCGTGCTCCAAGATCTGACACCATCTGCTCAGGGCTTCATCACGTGCACTGCACTAATGCACGGGTCCACTGCATTAGTGCTAAATGATTTGTTTTTGAAGTTCATGGAACTTCATTAAGTTTCTAATTCTTAGAATTAAAACTTATTATACATCACACCTTTACAGAAACGGATGAGCCCTGGTGTGAATGTGGTCATGTGACGCCACACAACAGGAAGCAACACGTCTGTTATAAGTGAAGGGAAACAGGACATGTCAGTCTGAGAAGCCTTGTGGTTCTTCTCCTCACGCAATGGCTGGAGAATTATCTATAAAGCACAGATGTTGGATAAGATCTGTGAATGTCACGACTGAAGTGACATATGAAGACACATTTTTATTTTGTTGATCACGGGTCATTCATTACACACATATATATATATATATATATATATTCTGTGGAAGATGAGGAACTAAAGAGTTGGTGGAAATTATCTCCATTTACTTCATTAAGTCTCATGCGAATGAGGTGGTCTGTGAAAGAGACTTAAATATTTCCTATTTGATGTGTTTTAAAGGTTCTGTTGATTTATACCTTCTCTAAATGTATTGTTGAATATGTGAATAATATGTGCTTTTATTTTTCTATTGCAAAATACAAAAAGATGAACAACCCCAAAAAAAAGAATACAGCTTTTTTTCACTTTAATTTACACGTCTCAGGCTGCAGTTCAGTTGTGATGAAAGAGGCGTCCCAGAATGCTCCAAATCCTCCTGCTGCTGTGTTTTGCAGTTAGAGTTGAATGAGACTTTGATGCACAAAAAGGAACCTTATGATTGATCAAATAAAATGGCTCACTTACTATATTTAAGTCTAATTAAAAGTGGGTGGATTTATTTTGGTCTGGTCTTTATCTCAAAGGGTTTTTATATCAGTCATTCTAAAATGATAGAAGACTTTTCTCTGGGTCACTGGATATATTTAAAATAAAGATCATAAACAGAAGCAGAGGTTAAAAAAAACCTCACATCTGATATTCATCTGTGGTCTCTGCATTTCCACATTTCTCTGCATGTTTCTCAACTTTCAAACTGTCTCTTGACACAAAGCGGAATCGTTTCTCACAAGCGAGTGTCAGCGTGGACGTGAGGATGGGACACACCTTGTTTGGTGCGTTGGGGCTTTTCTGTGAGTACTTTCTCTGTTTAAATCATAGTTTTCATAGATACAACTTTTTAAATGCCAGAAGTTAATAGTTTCTGTCAGTTTGATGATGTTTCTCACTTTATTTTAGCGCTGAATATTCTCCTCTACTGTGGACACGCTCAAGGTTTCTATACAACTTTCTTTATTTTGATACATTGACTCAAGACGACTCAACACCTTCTATCACTATTTTACATGTAATATTTCTCTTTAGTTCATTTATGATGAATACAAGACAGAAGACAAGATTCATTCTTTGCATGTTGTGTTTGTTTCTAAATGCTTTGCTGCATATTGAGCCAAACTGGTCCCCTTTATTTACTGGAGAGAAAGTTACCTTCATATGTGACTCAAGAGAAGGAAATGACACTGACTGGAATTACTCATTCAGGAGTAACTAAATGAGTAGTAACTGAATGAGTAATTGACAATTTATAAATTAGTTATTGATTTATTATTGATGACACAAATGGATCAAACACATCAGCAGAGTGTGGCGCCTCCTTCAGGTGAAATGTTCTCATTACTCAGTGAACATTTTATTATTTATTACAGGGAGACTGACTTTGACATCTTCTTCTGTCTGCAACTTTATGTAAATTATAATTATGTAGGAAACATAAATCACTGATATCTTGTATCATTGTTCATTTAAGGAAACTGATTTAGTAAAGCAAAGAAGTAACTGTTACACAGACAGAGACGTGATCCTTTAACTCCTGCGTCCTCCTTGTATGAAGGAGAATCAGTGACTCTTCACTGTCGACATGGAGACCAGAGAAAGGAGAAGAATGCTGACTTCTACAAAGACAAAACACTTATTGAGATGGACACAAACCATCAACACACACATGAAATCACCATTTCTCTGATGTCTGATGGGAGCTCTTACAAGTGCAGATTTAAGGACAAAGAATCTGAAATAGAATATTTGAAATGTAAGATTAGTTACTATGTTTAAAGACATTGTACCAAACTCCTGTTTAAACCGGTCTTTTTCCGGCGATCGCCACCGAGCTAAAAACTGAAACAGTGGCGCCACTGCAGGTCCCTCCTCTGCTTTTGGAGTCTCTCTTTTCTTGCCATTATGCTGCAAATGTTTTAAACAAGATAAATCAATGCTGTAAATCAGAGATCTTCAACAGGGGGTCGGTCGGCGGAGGTACTGCAGGGGGGGTCACAACATTTTTGGTTGATAAGACAACCTTGTTTTCTCTCCACAAATTGAAATGTCTTCAGAATCAGAAATGTATTTATTGTCTTTAAATACACATTAACATGAATCCAACATATTGTAGCGAACAGATAAATTGATGGAGAAGACGTTATCTTTCAGTCCACAACGCACACATTCATCTTCCCACAGGAGCTCTCAAGCTGGGCACCAGTTCACTCAAAGCTCCTTTCATGCAAATACAACAGCACGGGGAGCAGCCAATCAGATCGCGTTCATGCTCGAGTCTAAAGAGCACAAAGCTCAGAAATACAAGCTGGCGGACCAAACTCCGTAGGGAATCCCTGCTCCATCTCGCCATCAGTTTTGGGGTCCTTGGCCTGAACAACGTTGAAAACCCCTCCTGTAAATAATAATCAAGAGTGACGTACAAACTCTCCATGAAGCTCACTATACACACACGTATATATTTTTTTAATGTTTTCTCACAGAGTTGAAGCATAAGCAGCATTAAACCAATAATATACCACAATATACCTCATCTGAAATAGAATATTTGAAATGTGAGATTAGTTACTGTGTTTAAAGACATTGTACCCAAACACCTGTTTAACACATGAAGACAGATAAAAAGATGGAGGACATCAGCAGTGACAGTAATCCACCAAGGACTCATCATAACACGTCTTTATTCTGTCAAACCTCTTTCCAACAGATGTCCCTCAGTCTGTCCTCACAGTGTCTCCATCATGGACGAGTCCTGGAGACTCAGTGACTCTGACCTGCAGTGTTGAACCTCCGTCTGCAGGATGGAGGTTCTTCTGGTATAAGGCTGTTCCCAAAGGGTCAATCGCCTACACCTATGAGCTTCTAGCTGGTGGCACCACTGGGACTGAACAGGATTCCTACATTATTCATGGACAGACACACACAGCAGGATATAAGTGCAGAGCTGGAAGAGGAGATCCTGTGTTTTACACTCAGAATAGTGATCTGAAGTTTGTCTGGTCTGGAGGTGAGTTTGTTCAGACTTTTATATTCTTGCACAAGGGAATAAATGTCCTTTTTGTGTTGCCATTGTTTGTCCTGTGTGTGTCTCCTAATGATGTGTCTTCAGGTGTGAATCCAGCAGCGTCTCTCACAGTGAGTCCTCACAGACTGCAGCACTTCAGCACAGAGTCACTGTCACTGATCTGTGAGGGAAACTCTGCTGAGTGGAGAGTGAAGAAGGCTGATGAAGATGGCAAGAGGTCAATCTGTTCTAAGTGGGGAGCAATGAATGGATCCACATGCAACACCGACACTAGAGCGAGTAGTGGAGTGTACTGGTGTGAGTCTGAAACACAGTCCAGCAATGCAGCCAACAT